TTCTTTCATAGTTGTACTGTGAGCAATAGGAATAGACGCAAACTTATTAGTATTATGCAACAATACAGCTTTTAAGCTCCTTTTCGAAGAATCAATAAAAAGTCTCCATTCGTCGGTTTTATAAATATTTCATTTAATTTCTGTCATTAGACCTTCAACATTATTGCAATAAGGGCTTGAAAGTTTTTGGTATGCTGATGGGACAGCAATCTGGATTTACAAAGTACCCATGTTTCAAGTGCTTGTGGGATAGCAGAGATCGTAAAAACCATTACACCGACCATAAGTGGACTGAGAGAAATTCTTTAGAAGCTGGACATCATAATGTTATTAACAGTCCATTAGTAGACCCTAAAAAAGTTCTACTACCTCCTTTACATATTCAATTGGGCATTATGAAACAATTTGTAAAAGCTTTGAGTGAGAGTGATGAATGGTTACAAATATTTAGAATCTAAATTTTCCTTCAAATCTGATGCCAAATTAAAAGAAAGAATATTCGATGGACCAGAAATAAGAAAAATGCTGAAAGATGACAATTTTCCAACTAAGATGACTGAGGTTCAGAAAGCTGCATGGCATAGCTTCAAAAATGTTGTGGAAAATTTTCTAGGTAATCGCAGAAGCGATGATTACAAAGTTTTAATATCAACAATGATAAATAATTTCGGGGAAATGAAATGTAATATGTCTTACAAACTGCGTTTCTTGCATAACCATTCAGATGAGTTCCCGAAAAACTGCGGTGATTTTAGCGACGAGCAGGGAGAACGATTCTATCATGACATCAAACATATGGAGCAGCGATATCAAGGTAGATGGGATGTGGCAATGATGGCTGATTACTGCTGGATGTTGAAGAGAAATAGAGTGAACATAAAGGACTAAACGCAGACGGCAACCTTTAGGCCGATCGTTTGAAGTAAAAAAGGGGCATTACAAATGAAAAAAGTAAAAAGGCATACGAAATTAACAATATTTCATCAAGTTTTGCCCTCTTTTCATGAACTTAACCTTGAAATTACATTGATCTTAACTTTTTACAGGTTACTCAATCAAAAAGCTGAATTACTTAGCTCAAAAAACCTATACACAATCTTTTTTCGATACTTTGTCGTTTTCACTAGATTTAATCTTGAAATAAGCTTAAAATTAGTCAGTATAGTGTAAATGAACTTTGATTCAATTTCACCGACCCTTGAAACATAAAAAATATGTTTTTCGGACTTTTATATCGAATTTATTATGTTTGACCTTCAAATGACCTCGAAGGTGAGGTCTGAGAGGTCATCTGACTTTAGATTTGAATTCAGCATCCTCAAAAACCCATATAGGAGTTTTTTCCAATTTTTTAACCTGTTTTTTATGATTTGACCTTCAAATGAACTCTAAATGACCTTTAGATGTCAACATTGAGTCAAAATGACCTTGAATTTGAATTCAGCGACTCTCAAAACATAAAAAAATATATTTTTCGGATTTTTATATCGCATTTTCTAAGTTTGACCTTCAAATGACCTTGAAGGTAAGGTCGTAGAGGTCATCTGACTTCAGATTTGAATTCAGCATCCTCAAAAACCTATGTAGGAATAGTTTCAGATTTTAAAACCTATTTTACATGATTTGACCTTTGAATGACCTTCAAATGACCTTAAATCGATCTGATGGCGAAAAACCGACGACGGATTCGGATTCAGCGACCCCAAAAACATAAAGTCTACTGGGTCCGGTCTCTGGGACTGAGCATTTTTTTTTTTGTGCCTGTGTTATATACAAATTATAGAGAAAGTACTCATTTTTCCAAACCCATGTCTCAAAATAAAATTAGTCAGCCGTTTTTTCAATATTTTTTTAATAGAAGTGGCAAAAACACGACTTTTTCAGCTAGTTTTAGGATTAACAGCTAGACGACAAGCCAGTTAACTTAACCTGTTTTACTACCCTGATACTCAACCGACAAGCATGTTACGCGAGGGAACTTCCTCAAATATTTCTTTACTTGGTTCGTTGAAGGGCGTATAAAATTATATCAATAGAAAAGTCAAGATTTAAGCTATCCGCTAGTATGTTTTTTATTCATATCTGTACGTAGATAACCATGATACAATTGATTAAGGGGACATACCAGTGTTAAAACCTGAAATGATTAATAAGTGCAAAATGAGGCATCAATCAAGTTTCAACAAATATAGAAATCATCCATGTTTTTTCGCTTCATTTTGAATACAAAAAACGACTATAACCCCCAGTATGAAATTTAAAAAAATTCTGTTACATGTTAGTGCAGGAAATTTTACAAAGAGTTTAAGGGCTCAAAGGGGGCTTAAAATCGAAAAAATTTTTATTTCAGTTTTGAGTCGGATTTTTTGTCCCCTTTCCATTGCATTTTTTGAAACTTCAAAATTTTGATCATTCAGTGAGATACAGCTCGACGTGCCAGTGCTGAAAGATGACGCTTCGCTTCGCTGAGCAGAAAGATGACACTTCGCGCTCGAAGCAAAAAGATGCCGCTTCGACGCTCAGAGCAGAAAGATGCCACTTCGAGCTGAAAGATGCCACTTCGGTGCTCTATTGTGCAGCATGATATTTCTGCGTTCGCAGCGACACAATAATAACGT